CAAAAACAAAAAGAAGAAATGTTTCATTGTCCTTTAAGACTCTTTGGTCTGTCTTGTACTCTTGAGTAACTGTTTTGAAAATGATACACAGTGTACTAACTATTTTCTTGTTTTTTTATAAAATTTTGTTTTACTTTTTTCATAAAATAAAGCTTTATTCTGATCAGATGATCCTTGTGTATTGTTTCTTCACTTAGTACCTTGAAAGGAATAGTAAATATGGCCAGGGTTGTTTTAGTATGTTTAAATGAATTTTGAATAAAGACTATCTCAGAACAACTAGTTATATGTACAAATATGTACACAACTTGCTTCTTAGCTTATGAACAATAAATGAAGGCAGAGTCTTTAAAAGAAATTTTTAGTATCTTGTTTTTGATGCTTCTAAACATCTTTATTTTTTCCTTGTTCTACCAGGGTGATGTGCCATCTGTTGAATACCTCTTGCAAAATGGAAGTGACCCAAATGTTAAGGACAATGCTGGATGGACACCATTGGTACTTTTTTTTCCCCCTTTTATTCTTGTGATACTTGTTTCTTAGTCTCCTCCTCTGTTTCATATTTTATAGGTACATTGGTGTCTGTATATCATCCTCTTCCACCTATACATATATTTTTAGTCTGATGAACTTACATTTTCGCTGAATATGAGAAAATATTTTCATGTACCTTTTCAGTTGTGACAGGCAAGAAATTGGCTACCTTTTGACTCCTTTACATTTAGAATCCAGCTGTACTACATTGCTGAATTTAGCTCGCGTGCAGAGGTAACTTACTGCAGTTGACATGAGGCTTCATTTTGCAGCATGCGTGTCACTGGAACCTGATTTTGTGAAATGAAAAGGACTCAGAAGGACTGAGGGGGCCGGGGATATAGCTCACTGGCTTAAATGCCTGCCTGGCAAGCACAGGGTCCTGAGTTTGATCCCCGATACCAAAAAAAAGGGGCTTAGTATGGCATAAGATCACAAAGCAGTACTTCCTACTACAGGTTTGTCTTAGCTTTGTTATTCCCTGTCTCATCTAATTGCAAATAAAGCAGTAGAAAGTTTTTCTTATGTTAAGTATTTTTAAGTCTTTGCTATTTATTGCAATAAATATTATATGAAGAATATGTTGGGGAGAAAATGGCAAAAAAACACTTGGAAATAATTGGTACATAGTCCAGTTACATTAAGAGGATAAGTATGAGGTTTGAATGCAACCATAGGTGTGATGTGTATTACTTATAAGCTAGAACTTAGGTGATACATAGGTGATCAGGTGCAGAAGAAGTGTGATGGTATATATCATGACTTCTTGCTAAAGTCAGGAACATGGAGGGGTTACTGGGTCAGCATCCTTGTACTGTTTGGACTCTCCTGCTTACTAATCTTTGTCAAAGGTTAGACTTAGTATTAAAGCTACTAAGGCAAACTGAAATAAAGATCGGTGAGTTATTTAAAAGTACCTGATGCCTAATTTGAATTCCTTTCTCCTAGAATAGACCTACAGATGTTGAACATAGTGTCACCTATTATGAATAGAGATAGATATACTGAAAAAGCACAGTATGTGAGGAATCACCATAGTAGCATTAATGGAATTCACTAGACATCAGGAAAGATTTATGTGTAAGGCATCTGTGAACATTCTGCTAATGACAGTTGTGTCATTATTAAACTCTTTTTGAATACCTATTCCATGTTATTTCTTTTGTCACTGGCATTGTCACTTCATCTAGTAATCCTTTTGGTCAGAAAGAGAATTTGTATAATAAACACATGTGGGAAATCCCCTCTGCTGGGTAGATAAGTGTTAGTGGTGGTCCACCATTCATCTGTGTTTGATACAGTGAAGAAGAACTTCAGATTTTGCACATGGTGTGGGTTTTAAACTCTTTCTTACTATTTAATTGTGGGACAAATGTGGGAGTTATAGTGGGGCTAAAGTTATGTTTTATTTTACAAAAAGAGCATTTGGCCTAACACTCTTCCTATGAGTTGCACAAAGATATTGTTAGTGACTTTTACTCTGTGAACAACACATTGTGTACATGAGTGGTATGTACATACATTAACTCACTGACTGTGGTTCTGACTTCTGTCCCTAATAGGGTGTTATATTATCCTTTGCTTTTCCTTGTTCTCTCAATTAGCACGAAGCCTGCAATCATGGGCACCTGAAGGTGGTAGAATTGCTGCTGCGGCATAAGGCCTTGGTGAACACTACTGGCTACCAGAACGACTCACCACTGCATGACGCAGCCAGGAATGGGCACCTGGCTATAGTGAAGTTCTTACTGTCCTGTGGAGCCTCCCGGAACGCTGTGTAAGTAGTCTCCATCCTGCGCACCATTAGATTCTGTGTTGAAGATCAGAGTTTGTGCTCTTTTCTTCAAAGAAACTTAGGTATTTGGAAATTTGTTGTGTTACTTCAAAAACAGCTGTCAGATCCATTTGCAATTTTTCTTTTTAGGGAGAAATGCATTTTTTATTCTATAGCCTGATTCCTACTTACGAAAACGTATCAGTGAGTTAATTTTTTATGCGTAATTCTTTAGAATTATTTTAAATATTCCATTCTTTATATTTAGCATAACAACAGTTAAAGTTTATAAGAATTCAGATTTGGGGCGAGTGCAGCTGAATTATTTCCTAGATTTTTCACATTATTCAAATGAGGCTGTGAGTAAATTGTTTTGCAGTGTCAGGGCACAGAGGCACATTAGTGAGTGCTGGCGGCTGCATTCTAAAATTGCTATTGTCAAGAGTATCACAAGCAAATGCTATATGTAGATTTTATATCTTTAATCTGTAACTTGGCTCATGTCTCCCTATATATTATTTTACTCTTTTCAGTTAATTAGGTAGTTGAAATGAAAATGCAAGAATTGCCTCTCTGTGGCCCTTTGGCTTCCATAGCCTGGGAAAGAGTACACAAAAGTGAGGCTTTTCCTGCTTGCAGAAGCAAATAACAATTACAGGATGCAGAGCTTCTGTGTTATCACTTTTTATAGGTAACCATTTGCCATAATTAAAAACAAATTAATATTACAGGAATATACAGTACCTTTATGCTGTTAATTTCAGTACCAGTGTCATCCAGCTCCTTTATTTCCTTTCCATCACAAGTTATAAAACAGTTGTGATATGTATACATTAAGATATATACATGACATATAGTCTCACATTTTTCTGTGTGTGTGTGTGTGCGCGCGCGCGCGTGTGCGCCTTTATGTGTTTGTATCTTCATACACATGAATCTAGCAGTACTTTGTAAGGGTCTAACAGCGTTGATCCTCCTGTGGGTGGTTGCTGGTGCAGGTGAGGCTGAATTGTTCCATCCTAGGGTTCTTAAATCAGCTGTGACTACTTTAATGAACGGAGCACTGGTCAGGGTGTTAGGGAACCCAGCTTTTATTTGTGACTCCATTGTTGACTTTATAGCTGTAGGCAGGTTAATTCTGTGCCTTGGTATCCTCACCTATAAAACACTGGTGACGCCTGCTGCTTTTTTATTTCTTCAGAGCGTAGTGAGGATTAATGAGCCAAAACGCAGCCTGTCCTGTGCTTTGTACAGTATGACTATTACACTGCAGTGTGAGGACTTAGAGGTGCACAAGCGGCCCGCCTGGGACCGTGAGTGAGTCTTCTTCAGTAGCGTCTTTCCAGAGAGTCCTGATATCTGCTTCGATCAGTTTATTTGGTAAAATGATGGCTCAGACATCTCTATAGCCCACGCTGTCCAGGGGACCTTCTGCACTGATGGAAACTTTCAGTGCTGGGCATTCTGTAGCTACTAGTAACCTTAGCTACTGAACACTTGAAAGCTGCCAGTCACCACTGAGATGTTAAATTCTAAAATTTACCTAATTTCAATAGCTCATCTGTGCCAAGTGACTATTGCATTGAACAGCTGGTTGATACAAATAGGACAGTTGGGAGAGAGTGACGGCGAGGTTAGGATTGCTGCTGGATAAGGAGCACAGGGCAGATTTGTACAGATAACTTTTGTCCTCAGACGTAGCAGTGCAATTACTGTTTTTAAAAATTATTCTTTCTGTTTGCTATCAGAATGAATTGCCTGTTTTTTTCTTTCTGTTCTGTTTTGTTGAACTTCATATCTCATTGGCTTTACCAGTTTCCTGTTGGTCCTCTCTTTTGATTCATCTCCCACTCTGCAACCTCAATATTTAAAACAAATACAGATCTGGCCAAATCACATTACTTCCACATCTTTAGTGGCTTCCTTGTAATGTGTTTACACTTTAAACCTCACAACTTGGTTTTTAAGGGCCTCGCTGGTCTGGGGTGCTACTTACCTTTCAGCCTTAGCTCTTTCCACAAGTCCTCCTGTACCCTTTTTCCTTCACACATTGTTTTTTTTTTTTTTTTTTTTTTT